TTTCGCTTTCTTACATCATATATTAGCTATCAATTATAAAATTTAAGCTCAAATCACAATGAAATCATAATTTATTAAAAAGGGCGCTTTAAAATTGGGCAGATTTCGAATTAAGAGTGACACGGGGTACTTTCAAACCCGGCAAAAAAGTGTTAATCGCAAGGGGCTATGGAAAACGAGACGAGGATCAACAGCGAGAAAATGGAGGTAAAACAACTGCTCATAATATGCAGCCAATAATATACTGAAAAAAAAAACGCTTTAAAGCATACAGAATACTAATTTCTGGCATAAAACTTTTTATGGCCTCGCGATACTAAAACGCTTGTTTATCGCCAAAATACCAAATTACTTAGGTATTTTAACACACTTTAACAATTAAAAGGACCTAATAGTCTGTGTATGTCTAGACTTTGTGCTTTACGTCTCCTCATAATTATCAAACATTATTTTGGCAACAGAGGATTCCGTAAAACTGCTTCTGCTAATATTTTCGATTTCGTTCACATTTATTATTAGCATTACTGATTTTATAACTAAAACATTATTTATCAAATATATAAGTCGTAGGTAGGTAGGTATTAACTTAACAGATAATAATTTGACTTCCTAAACTAAAAAAAAAATATTAAAATTAGTTTAAGAAGTGTTATAACATGACAGCTGAAGCCATTTCGCTGTAAACGAAATTTCGTCTGTTTTCGAAACGCTGGGACGACTCTAAAGAAGAAAGACGAATTTTTCGAAATTTTCGTTCGAGGACAAAACAGAATAGGACTTCAGGTGTCATGTTAATTCGTACGAATTATTTATAAGTGTTATTTTTTTCTTTATCGTCTTTTATTGCTGTCTAACTTTTGTCGTGTTTATGTACGCGTGAAATGATTATAATATAATTTTCTTGTCCAATTTATCCTTTCTCTTAAAGCAAAGCCGTCGATAACAATAGGGAAAAAAATAGCAACGTTTTTTTTTTATTTCTCTGTATTTTTAATGATGTCTTAAGAAAGTTGATGCGTAATATCAGTATTTACACTTACAGATTTTAATTAGTGAATTCCTTTATTAAATGAAACCACAGAAAACTGCGCAATACCGTAAAAGTCTTATGATATTATACCAACAAAATTCCGTTTCTTTAATCAATTAACTAAAGTATCAACCGGCATGTTGCTTTTGAAGCCGTTTCTTTATGTTTATTGAGTTTTAACATTTGAAACGCAAAATATTGCTGTAATATTCTTTTTATTACATTTAATATTTTTTTAATAAATAAGCAGGGAGAAGCGACACCATCCAGAATTAAATAGATCTTGTGCCATCTATCGAGAGATTATGTCAAAAGTCATAAAAAAGTAGATTCCTTGGTACTCGGTTTGTATTTGTAAAGGATCTGGCGTGAAGGTATAGATAGTGATTGATTACGTTCAGCCAATAAACTTTTGGTCACCCATTCTCCGGCTATGACGAACGTTGCTTAATTTTCAACTTCCACAATCGCAGACCGCACATACGCGCTAACTACTGCGTAACACGAGATTTGTTAATGAAATTCAGAATTTTCGTTAGGCATATTTAAGTGGAATTTGATTGGAGGTCTTAAAAGTGACAAGCTGTGATTTCGTCACATACAAAAGGGAACAACAACAAACAACTCTTTCGAGTTTAGTTACTTATTCAGGGTGATATAAACAGTTGACGAATGACAAAACTTGTGCAATTTGTCAAAAAAAAAAACATATATAAGTATGAAAAATAAATCATCATAAAAAAATCAGATATTTAAATCATATTTTTTAAATTTAGTTACATATGTATTAATTGCTTGAATAGATTCTTTTTTGAGTATTAAACTTAAAGTTCTCGAAAGTTATCTATGCCTAAAGGCATAGTAAAGGACAAAGTCTATATTAATATACTCGTAGAATTCGAAAACGCTTCAGTCTGTGCGAGATTTGACTTTTATAAAAAAGATTTTATATTGTTGTTTATACTTATACTTACAGATACATTAATAACGTTGTACCATATTTGTACTAGCTCATATCTCGCAAACAATCGTATATATTCTCGCAGTAAGTGGTTTCGAATTCATCATGGCAAAAATTATAGTATTATAACTAAAGCAACGATCATAAGAACAGTATGTTTCTTCTTATGTATATCCATTAACTATACTCTTTTTTATCAGCTTTGTAACATCGAAAATATAGAAAAATAAACCAGCATACAGATTTACACTTTTGTATCATTCATTTTAATGTTCGCAGTTAGCTCGTACTTTAAGCTAAATGCCTGTGCTGTATTTCTGTATTTAGACATAGTATTTACATCGGCGAGATTCAAGTCGGTTCTTTCATTTCAATATTGAATTTAACTAGGCTTAGCTTCTGTTGTTGTAAGCCATATTATTTAATATTTATTTTATTTTAATATAAGAGTGCTAACTAATTCAATAAGACACAGAAGATGCACTAGAAAAGACATTTCTGCGATAAATTTTGAGCGTTATTGTTAAAATATTAAGGTTTTTAAGCGATTTATAGTTATACCTTTTGTAATAAACTGGTATGCTGTCGATCACACATTGATTTATTTATTAAAATTATCATCTAACAGGTAACTTGACATTATCAAATATAAGTATTTAATTATAACCTACTGATGTTGTTGCGAGTCAATGCGAAAACTAGCTTTAAGAGAACGCTATGAACTAAGTTGGTAGCTTTTATTGTGCTTCGAAGACTTTTGTACGAGATCCCATTGTGTACCAACAAATGATGGTTGCTTTTCCTCGGGCCGTTGTTCGTCAGGTACACTTTGATTAGTACTCAGTTAATGTGCCAGATGTAACTTTTTTCGACACAAAACATCTCGGACCGTCTTTTATCTTTGCGAAACAATTGCCGCTCGTAATTTAATAGTATTTATTGAGGATGTCCTATAAGACAGATGGACTTGAGTGTAGTCTACCGGTAAGTAATTATTATAATGGAATTTGTTAATGTAACAAGTGTTATGTGAGTGAATTTGAGTGATGTGCGTCATTGATATATCGGAGTGTTTTATTTTGATTATATTTGAAATTGCATATACAAAAAGTTAACTGCATATTTTGTATTTGCAGTTTCAGATTTGGAACATTATTTTCTAATGTTTATATTACATTTTGAGTAAACAAAATATGTTGTTTCATCACAGAAACTTATTAGTTGGCAACATGTTTCTGTACTTTTCCTAATTGTAATGGAAATTACTCTTAATGCTCGTTGAATAAGGTGTAGATTATAAAGTCAAAATCAGACACTTCTAATATATCTAAGTATGCTAATAATCAACATGTACTCATATATTCTGTCCTTCTTAATCATTTTACCTGCTGAAATCTAATTATTTGTGAGAGGAACTTCATAATAGCATCAACGACTACAGACAAACGTCGTTATCTTTCAGTGTTGGCAGCTTTTATCATTTAAGTATTTTGGCATGAAACTTATGGAAGTTTTTTAATAATACTGTGAATAATTTCTTTGATAACAGTTACCAAAATACGCATCTTAATAATAAATCGCAGATATTACTATTATTTACTTGAAATTTGTTTATTTTTTTAACTTAAATGTAATTAAGTCGTCATTTTGTAAAACGAGTACTTAACATTTGTATCAGAAATCAAATTCTATTCTGAGGCAGACTAGGCACGTTTGAAAATAGTTTTAGAAATTGGCTTCTTTCTTTGCGATAACAATATTAGATGATTCGACGAGAAAAACGTAAAAACATTGGAAAATTACTTTTATTTGTCGTCAGTCCTCAATAATATTTCATTTATATAGTTACGGATAAATTTGCTGATTTTCTTCAGTACTTTATGACGATAGTTAGTGGTTAGAGTGAATTTAATAATGTACTTATTCATATTTTATGGGTAGTTTTTTGTTCTGCAAGTAACAAGGGTCACCGATATTCGATTACAATGGTTCCCTACATCATATCGCATCGTTATAGTGGTAACAAGCTTCCATTTCAGCAATCCCTTTTTTAAAATGAAGGGTTTGGGGCCTATTCACTATTACCAGTATAATATTACACAGAGATGTGTCGAATCATTGTAGTGTATTTATCATTCGTAAAATTTTAAATGCCAATTACGTGGAAGAGTTAGTAATACATCTAATTGCTCCGAAATTTAACAAGGCTCTTTAATTTAACATTTTTCTAAGATTCTAAGATCTTTGAAAATGTGTTTGATAATTACAAATGATATGTGAGAGTTGGAGTTACCACGTGAGATTGTGTACCTTTAATGCGCTAATTCAAACAACTAAATTACTTACTCTTAATTAACTACATCCATGAAAGAAAGAAGTCAGAGCCAGAGTAAACATAAAAATACTGTAAAGACCTATAATACAGGTACTTGATTATTATTTATTATATATTTCTGGTAAATATTAGTTTAAAAATTCAATTTATAGTTTTTATTTTTGATATCTAATTTTTAAGAATCAATTACTATATGAAGATCAATGACTATAGGTACTGCATGCCTAATAAAGATGCTGCTTTTAAAATCGATACTTCACATAACAAGGATTATTTTGTCGTCTATCCTGCTTTAGTATTGTAAAGTAGGATAGACTATAATGAAGTTCTCAAATATCGTTTCTATAATTTTATGCCAAATACTCATTGGAGACTTCTTCTATACTTAATTAAGATTTTATCGTTCCTATGAACAGAACGATAACATGGGAGAAAGCCACATGGTGTGGATTGTCGTGTCTATATAATGTTGCTTATTGTAACGATATGTGTACTACGTATCACGGAAGTTATAGAAATATCACTAAATTTTGGTTTGATTAGTTTATTACATGATTTAACTTTTTAATTATTACATTTAAGTCTCTGTGACAACTTTATATTTTAGTGATGTTTCTTTCCGATATTTTCCATAGCATAAATATCTTTTTTCCAACATGTTTTTATTTGCGCAGTGTATGGTTTGGACAACTTCTGGGAGATGCTCGAGGCGTCACCGGAAAGAGAAGGCCAAGAGGGAGACGGCAAAGCAATCGAAAGGTAAATAAAATAATATAAACATAATGATTAAATATCGACCTAGTGAATTGCGAAACTGTAGCTAAATAAGAGAAGGAACTTACCTTAAACCTGAAATAAAATTACAAAGGTAATAAAATAAGTAAGAAAACAATAAATAAGCGGGTAATAAATAAGTCACTGGTGGTTGTATTCAAACAAACTTCTATAACAAATATAAATAGTGGAAATTGTCTTCTATTTATTACAATCAATAATACAGAAATATAGTGTTTAAAATAACTTGCAAATACACTATTACCTATAGGATGGAATATTTGTTAAATAGAAAATGTTCCATGAATTACGTATGTAGGAGGACTCAATATTACACCAACTTCAAAGCGAACTTTTTCCACATTCAGAACGTTGAAAGTAAAGTTGGTATACCTATAGTTTGTTCCACTTCATTGAAAGCTTCATAGAATTCGATTCAAACAGCTCACTGTGGAGTAGTTATTGACTACCATGTGAATGTTGGAAACTAAAGCACAATTTTTCATATTAGCCACTATATTGGCCCAATAACCGCTTTTTAACCGACGTAATGGTGTTAAGTTCAAAGAAATAAATAATAATAATACGAGTAATATTCTTTATTGCACACACAAGACGAGTAACAAATTACACAGTTTGAGAAAAAACAAAACTATACAAGAAGGCGGCCTTATTGCTACATAGCATAAATGCAAAATTTTTAAGTATGTTTGTTACTCTTTGACGCAAAACGTACTGAACGGATTGTCATGAAAGGTATACAGACAATTCTCAGTCTGAATTGATATAAGCTTACTTACTTTTGATTCCACTAGACGATTTCCTAGAGACGACACAAGCCAAGCCACTAGCAGAAAATAAATAATTTTTATTTTGAGAAATTAATGTTAAAATTTGATTAATAGAGAGAGAGAGAATAGCTTCCTTCTAGACAAGTTATCTTATTGACATTCTTATGCTCGAGTGATATTAAGAGTGAGCTCATTAAAAAATATACTTTTTGTATTGTACAAAAACGAAATGAATATAGTGTATCCTAATGGTAAGAATACTTTAAATTTTGCAATTTGATTTATTGATTAGATAGCTGTCATTACTAAACATGTAACAGTACATTATCTTATATTTAGTATCTAATTGCATATATAGCATATTCTTTTATTTTAGTTGACATTATTACATTTACCAGTTAAATATGATCTATTAATGAAGGAAGGAAAATACACAACTGGCCCCAGGTTGGGCGCCAGTTGTGACGCGTTCGATGAAAATCGAGGCAAATTAATAAAAGGCTGACTAAGCTTAAGAAATTGATTTATTTACGGTAATAAAAGAAAAGAAAAAGAAAACTGCAACAAACAAAAAATGAATATTAAACAGTTCGTATGATTACTGTTCTTGAAATAAAGTAAACTTAGATATTGAAGAAGTTATTTATTAATAAATCAATACACGTGCAACGAGAAAACTCTTATCATAGAGAAAAAAATTTTTATACAATACAGTGTGACCAGTACCATGACAAATAAATAATCCATTGTCTACTATTAACACCCCCCTTCAATGTATTATTTATTTAAATTAATACAAATTAATTTTTTTTGAAAATTTAAGGATCATATTTTTAGTCAACGGTTTAGTGAACATGTCTGCCACTTGTTCTTCTGTTTTAATATACTCTAAACAAATTTTACCAGTTTCTATTAGTTCTTTTAAAAAATGAAACCTTATATCTATATGTTTCAAACGTTTTACACAATTTGTATTAGCAATCATTATAGCTGCCTGATTATCACAATAGATTTTTACTGGTTTATTATTAACATTTTCCTTAAAATCAAGTAACAAGTTCCTAAGCCAACATGCTTCACTGGCAGTTATGCTTGCTGCTATGTACTCAGATTCAGTAGAGGAAAGACTGACTGAGCACTGTTTCTTAGAGCACCAAGATATTAAACAGTTTGCATATAAGAAACAAAAGCCTGAAGTTGATTTCCTGTCTATGAGGTCTCCACCCCAATCAGCATCACAATAGCCAATCAACTGATCATCATTACATTTATATACTAGTTTGTAATCTATACTATATTTTACATATCTGAGAACCCGTTTCAAAGCCATTAATAATTCATTATTAGCATAGTTTTGATAACGGCTGAGTTTAGATATAACAACACATAAATCAGGTCTTGTGCCTGAAACAGCATACATCAAACAACCTATCATTTTACGACATAAATTTTCCAAATTTTTATCTTTAACATCTGACACACTGTTTTTATTTAATATTTTGACATTAAAATTTTGGTCCATAGGAGTTGTTAATGGTTTACAATCATACATTTTAAATTTCTTTAAGACATTTTCTAAATATGATTTCTGACTCAATTCTGTTACACCTTTTGTTAAATTTTGATTAACATGTATTCCAAGAAATTCTGACACTAAACCAAGATCTTTCATTTCAAATTCCTTATTTAAGTTTAACTTTAATTCTTTAACTTCTATCTCATTTGTACCACAAATTAATAGATCATCTACATACAATAATAAATACATTTTATTTTCACCATTGTTTTTAAAGTAAAGACATGAATCACATTGTGATCTCAAAAACCCTTGTTTTGTAATAATACAGTGAAATTTTTCATTCCAATACTTTGGGGATTTTTTTAGACCATATAGTGACTTATTTAATTTGACAATATTTTTATTGTCATTGTATGCCCCTTTTGGTAAACTAATATAAACTTCCTCATGAATTTCCCCATATAAAAAGGCCCCTGTAACATCCATCTGATAGATTGGGACATTTAATTTAGTTGCTATGACAGTAAAAGCCCTAAAGGTTGACAATTTTGCAACAGGTGCATATATATCACACAAATCTATTGAATCTTGTTGTTCAAAACCCCTAGCCACAAGCCTTGCTTTATATTGAATTTTATTACCAATTTTCTTTAATTTGAAAACCCATTTACTACTAATCACATTACTATTAATTACATCTTCACAAACATCCCATGTGTTATTATTTCTTAAAGTTTCAATTTCTTTATTTATAGCCATGGTCCACATACCTGCATCATCCCTTATCATAGCCTCTTCGTAGGTCTTAGGCTCCTCATCTAACAAATTAACTTGATTGCACTTGTAAAAGGATGTTTGCTTTCTTACACGTTGATGACGATGATTTTGTAATGAAGTTTCAGGTGAATATAGTGTTAAATCATCACTTACTTGGGATGAAGTGTGATCATCAGATTCCAATCCATCTTCTTGGCATGGTAAATACTCACTGTCATCCAATGTATTCTGAATCTGTGATTGCTCTTGATTATTTTGTAAGTGTTCATCAGAGCTGGTGTCATTCTTACTTTCCTCTTTTATAGTTTCTATTTCTTCCGGTATTATCTTATCTATGTCCTGTATCACAATTTCTTTGTTTTCTTGTTCGTTTTTCATATTCATAAAAATCACATCTCGTTTAATTTCAACCTTATTTTCCTGGGGAAAATATATCCTGTATCCTTTGACATTTTCACTATATCCTACCATTATTCCTTTTTTACCTTTTGGATCCCACTTCTTCCTTTTCTCTTCAGGAATGTAAGCTATTACAGGTGATCCAAACACTTTCAAAGTTTGGATGTCAAAGACTTTATTAGTCCATAAAGTATAAGGAGTTTTCTTCTCCACCAAACTTTTGCCAGTTCTGTTTAAAACATAAGCAGCAGTGTTCACTGCTTCTGCCCACAGTGTTTTAGGCAAGTTCATCGAATAAAGCATAGTTCTGGCCGCTTCAACAAGTGTTCGGTTCTCTCTTTCTGCTTTTCCGTTTTGTTGAGGTGTGTAAGGTACAGTAAGATGATGTATAATACCTTTATCATGGAATATCTTTTCAACATCTTTGTTCACGAATTCCAAGCCGTTGTCGCTTCTAAAATATTTTATTTTGTTGCCAGTTTCATTTTCTGCTTTATTTATAAAGTTTTCTATGCAATGTTTCACTTCATGTTTTCCTTTGATAAAGTATACTTGTCTATACTTCGAATAATCATCTTTAAATATCACAAAATATCTCGAGCCTCCCACTGAGTACTCCTCCATTGGGCCACAAACATCTGCATGAATTAACTCGCATGGTTTCGTAGACTTATTTTTACTGTCTGGAAATGGTTGACGATGGATTTTTCCCGTCAAACAGCTCTCACAACGTTCAATATCATTGGTGTCGATCACTTCAATATTGTTGTTTTTCAAAATATCTTTTACGTAAACCATATTTTGATGAGCAAGTCTTTGGTGCCATTCAATCAAGCTGACTTTGTTATTTGGTACACTTTGTTTGGTTTCCGCGACATTCGCTTTATTTTCTTTAAACAATAAATTAAGATAATATAGATTTCCTATGCGTTCTGCAATTGCACACAGTTTCTTGTTCTTGAAAAATTTACATAGGTCATGTTCTGTCACTATGACATAACCTTTGGCGGTAACACGTTTGACAGATAATAAGTTTGTTTTTAATGTCGGAACGTATAGCACATTGTCTATGGTAGTGTTAACCCAACACTTTCCGTCAAACACTTGTGCTGCCATCTGTCCACTTCCGAGAGCACTAATCTGCGTTCCATCGCCCAACACGACAAATTTATTTTTCAAACTGGTGAACGATGTAAATAGATTTCGATCACAACACATATGGTCACTTGCACCCGAGTCTACAAGCCATCTAGACTGTTCATAGGTCTCAAAACAATCAGATAGTCCTGATGCAATGAATGCATTGCTTTCTTTGTTCTTTCTAAAACGGCACTGAGATTTTGTGTGTCCTTGTTTACCACAATAAAAACATTTGTTATCGTTCGCACCATTCGCATTGTTACGTTTTTCACGATTGTTTATTTTATTAAATTTACATTCACTTTGGTAATGTCCGTACTTTTTACACTTATAACACTGAATGTCTCTCTTCATAGTCTTTTTCACGAAAAATGCTGATGATGATGACCTTGATGATGACCCGCCCTTTTCTTTTAATCTCTCTTCTTCTACTAGAAGTCTAGCACACAAGTTTTCGAAAGTTTGTTTGTCATCTGGTGCCGATTCCCACGCTGATATAAAGTGTTTGTAGTCATCCGGTAGTGACATCATAACTTTTGTAATAACAAATTTGTCCGAAATAATTTCACCTAATTGTTTCAACTCATTATACATTTCTTGCACCTTAGATAGGAAAACTGACATTTCCGCGTTTTCTTCATATTTCATTTGAAAAAATCTCTGTTGCTTAATGTGGATGCTTGTCTCGCTTTTCTGTTCGTAGATACTTAAGAGTTTACGCCACATTTCAGCCGATGTAGTACACGAGAGAATATGCAGCATCACATTTTCTGACATCCTCGTCACAAGAATAGTTTGTGCCTTCACATCTTGTTTTTCCCAATTTGCTAGTTCAACCTCATCACCAGTAGGCTTCTTACAATCAGTGACCACGTTGTACAGATTTTGGTTTTTCAATAAAATTGTGGTCTGGAACTTCCAAATGTTCCAGTTCTGACCACCTTCCAACTTAATAACTGTTCCCTGTGTATTGTCGCTCATCTTTTCTTCCTGCTACTTCCTTCCTTGTTTCTTACAAGTATTACAACTCGCCGGCCGGTGAATTTACTTAACCTCAAAATAGCGCAACGCACGCCAACGATATTTATTACAGTACTTGTACTTCACTTGCTTCAATATCAAGTTATGTGCCTGGGCCCATAACCTGTTCTTGAAATAAAGTAAACTTAGATATTGAAGAAGTTATTTATTAATAAATCAATACACGTGCAACGAGAAAACTCTTATCATAGAGAAAAAAATTTTTATACAATACAGTGTGACCAGTACCATGACAAATAAATAATCCATTGTCTACTATTAACAATTACCTAAATATATAATTACAATTACTAAATAGAACAAATAAATACCCCGTTTCTGGGTTTTCTGTAATAGATAAAACTTAGACGATATTTCACGAAGATATACTTTTAGATTAACATCTTTCTTATTTAAATTATAATAACTCAATTATTATTAAATTTTTATATTTGTATTTATATGATTATATTATCATGTTCACACCAGATGATTATTTACGAACTGACATTCATAAAGAGCATATTGGATTACTCAAAATTTCAAATCGCGAAAGATGAATAATAAAAAGAAATGCCATTGAATATTAAAGAAAAAAGTTTGCATGCGGAAACCTAGGACGAAATAAACGGTGGTACGGCACACCGTACTCATTGTTGAATATTATCAACTTCCTATGAATCATATATAATCATATAATCATATATATTCTATAGCCTTCAAATAAAATAAAAAAAACACACCCACGGCAGATCAATTACTTGGTCAAGTAACTAATCATAATTGTGAGAAATAAAATAACACTAAAATAGTACTCACTGAATGTTTAAATTATGCATGCTAGTACCTTTATTGAATTTACTCAACGGTGACACAGTTTTCAAAAATTGCCTGAACTTTCCACTTATTAATAAATTAAAAAATTTAGTTTAGTGCCTTGTTGGAGCTCTCAAGAAAGAAAATACCTCTGTGGTGATCAATTGATATTTGAATTTTTATTGGTGTACTATAATCCACTAGTCCAGCTCTTTAATTGGATTTCGATATTGGGACGATTGGATAAAGATATGCAATTCATTACTTTGCAGTGGACACCATTTTGAACCTACATAACAGTGATTATCCATAACATAGTGGTGCATAGGATATAAAGGTGCATTCCTAAGCACAAATGGAAATTAGTAGATGGGTCAAATCCTTGTAGATTACCCAAACTGATATACTTACGTTACAAATTATAATAATATTAAAAAAAACTTTGTAGACGATGTATAATAAACAGATGCGTATTATAGCATGACCATAACAAAGACATTTTTGATAGGTTTTCAACATTATATTGCACAGAAAACTTTAAACAATAAGTTTCCTTTTTTGTGATATATGAATACGATTCCAATAAGTTTGCACAATCTTACTCATTTGTAATTTTCCACACCAAATGGATAACAATAGTTAAATTGTAACTCTAAGTTTAGAAATTCTATCGCTCCAGACTATTCAGTAGTAGTGCAATAAGAAACTTTATTAATCGTCAATTCAATGTAAGTTTAGAAATGGTTGCCATAGTTCTGTTTCTTGGAATATTGTACAACTCCCAGGTACTGAAACGTGTATAAGTTCATTCATACCCTAACAGTGGTACTGTAGAAGCCAAGTAAGGTATCGAGTATACCGTATGAATCTTCGTGATGATTTCAGAAAGTACTCCAATACTGAGATCAAAAGTAGCTTGGGGTTTCTCAATGAAATTCTGTGTGTAATTCTTCAAATTCGATCGAAAAAGAAAGATAATCAATCAGTAAAACACGACCACGCGAATTCAAACGCAGAAAAAGTAATAATTTAAAATATTAGCTGTCAGCATTGACCATAAAATGTCCGGAAAGTAAACCTACCTATAGTAATGTGCACGGACGTTAACCAATACCTTCTGGATATCCTTTACAGGTTGTAATAACTTTCTGTTTGCTTTAATCATGATGAATTGTTCTTCAAGCACCTTGAACCACTTAAAATGAGACAAAAATTGCGTTTTCCCTCCTTGTATTTACGTATAAAATGGCTTTCTTTGCCATTTCAAGATGCTGTATTGATAAATATCATTAATAAAAATGTTTAAAAAAATCACCAGTTCCAGGCACCCTAAGATGGGAATGGATGTCAATGCCAAAACCTTTCACGATCCGGGGAACTGCTTTAACCATTGAGTTACCAGAGACCCAACGGGTCTGATGAATTTCTCAAGCACTTATTACCTGCTTCCGCTATGTGAGTGATGCAGCAACTCTGAAAATGATGAAAAGGTTAAATTGCGTTTTGCTAAAGTGATTGCTGACAGTCGTTACGGTATACAAAGGAGAAATAGTTTACAAGCACACCAACCGGTTACACCAACGTCCATTAAAATTGTTAATGACAATTTTTACAAATTTTGAAATTTGTAACATTAATAAGGGCTTAAAGTCGTCATTACACCTTAACAGACGTTTATTCAACTGAGTATAATCACAGGTGAATCACAATTATTTTGTTGTGCGCAATAAACAGATCGTATATACACAAAAAACAATTGGAAAGTCTTTATTTATTTATTAGTTTTAATAAAAATCTCTGAAAGCTTAGAGTTTTTTTTAAGCTCTGGATTGAGAAGAACCACAAGCAAACAAAGCATTTTTAATAATATCTTTTTTATTTATGACACGTCGGATTTGTTGATATGTGTTACATTATTCTAAGTTAAATTGATACAACTTATCTACTTTTTCGAAGCGTACGTTAAGCTCCACAAACAAAGGATCTAACGACTGATGGCTTTCGCCAAAAATCCTTTGGCAAATAACAGTCACAGTGAGTGGACAAACACACCCACCATTTCGAAGGTGACGAATAATAAGTTGAAATAAGATTAAATACCTACATTTTACCAATTTTTCTGCTGTATTAATGAGTGATTAAGGGATATTCAGCAATATTTCAACCATTATATGCTACTAACATTAAGCACGTTAGAAACACAACATTTATTTAAGCTGTTTTTGATTAGATGATCCGTCTTGTGTATCGTGTGTGGGCTATTAGGTATGACTTAAATAAGATAGGGAGATGATCATATGTTAGTTTTAACTACCACCACTATCGATGTTAACTCCTGCTGATAAACCCAGGATGAACGTCATGATCTTTCGAAGCAATGAAAAGCTAAAAATTGTATTGGTTACTTTACGAAAGAATTACATATCTACAACAGTACACAGAACTAAAGCCCCCTAAGTTATCATTATTTATATTTAATATAAGCTGTTTTTCCGCCACTTACCCGCATAAATATAGCATATGCCACCAGTGATGATGTATCATCCCTTCGGTGAAAGAATTGTCATGTTCGTATCAGTAATTTTGTAGATTACCTCCAAGAAACAAAAAAAATAGAAACTTTACCTCTTCATAATATTAGTATAGATGTGAAGCAAAAACTTTGTATCACTATTTGTGGGTGAATATTTACTTCTATCTGAAATACATATCTCCATATAAACTTAATTTGTAACAATCGTTAGTTACATTAAAAGTAAGATTACATTAAAAAATAATCTATGGTTTATAATATAAAGGAGACAGTTTTGATATTAGACAGAGTTGCACCGGGCCTGTTCCATTATTTGTAATAAATATATGTATATACTAGCCTCCCGCCAGCGGTTTTGCACGCGTGATCTAGTTTTAAGTCAAAGAGAAATTCAATAAAAACTTTCATCCTCTAATTTACCCCCTTAGGTCGAATTTCATAAAACCCTATCTTAGTGAGCATCCACGCCGTAAAAAGAACCTGCACGCAAAATTTTAAATTAACGAAGTCTCATACAAATTTCATCCCCTAATTTTATCCCCTTGGGGGTTGAATTTAATATAATCGACGGCTTTATGAAATTCGACCCCTAAGGGATGAGCGACTTTGTATTGTACTTTTTATAAATCTAGATTGTATAATATTTTATATCTAATGAATCTGACTTTGGTTCTAAATTTGTTATCATTATAACTAAAAACATACCTTCTTTCACAGTATCCCATTGGACTGGTTTGTTAATGAAATGCTGAACAATCCGGACTTTACCAGATCGGTGGTGCGCAAATTCGTGGACCTCAATCAGGTATGCTTTTGATTAATCAATTCTATTTTTAGAAGCTTTTATTGGCTTGCTTTGTTAGTATATTTTTCCATTAAGGATATAATGTCATGTCATCTATGTAACTTGAACTAAAAAACAAACAGTTAATTCAAATTTATACAATAGAGAGGGGCTAAATCAAATTTCTAGTATTAGACATGAATAAAAAAACAATACCCCTATTCTAATCGGATATCTAAAAATATGTTAGTCACTTTGCATCCGAGATTTCAATAATCAATATTGGTTTTCGAGTTAGTAAAATAATCATCTGTTTAATTGACTTTTAGTTCCGATACCAATTGTACCATTTGATTTAATGATTTTAAATAATTAATTACTTTAATTTCTTGTTCCCAGGATGGACAGCTGACATCGGATGAGCTACTCAGGAACCCCGCCTAAATCACTATAGTTAATACTCAAACACTCATTGTTTTTAATTAATATTTTAAATGTTAAGTGATACGTTCAACTATTTATAAGTTACAAAGTCTTGTAATTATGGTACTGTGATATGAAAGTGGAGTAACTTTGGTCATTTAAAAATAATATGTTAATATTTAAAATATGAACTTGAGTTTCATTGTATCTATTAATAAATTAAAGAGAATCTAAATATTGTTATTCGAAGAAGCTAATGGTGTTGTAAATAATTTACGGCTACTCTAATAATTTGGTTACAATGTCTTTGAAATTAATTGTTGTTTGCCAAGATTCTGCTTTATGAAGGAAAAACTATCGAGTGAATTACGATATACTAAAATCTGAATAATGTAAGAGATACAAGACTAAATTATCTATTTAATAATTCATTTAGGTATCATTGTCAAATCCTTTCTAGTCAGTTTTTTTTAGTAAAATATGAACGAATTTTATTTCAAATTAATATATTATTTGATCTCAATTTTTTAAAGCACTTAACCATTTTTATGTTATTTATTGTTTGTAAACAAATTTTGGAATATTAAATTATTAAACAGGTATTAAACATAATATAATATTAAACAGGTTATAATCAGACATAGATTAACAAATATAGATTATGTAAACAATATTGTCAGTTGAAATTAATCTTATAAATTTTGAAATTCATTTGTCTATTAAATATAATTGGTTTCATTAACAGTAAATAAAAAAATATTTGGAACAAGATAAATTTGAAGTGGAAAGGCACTATAAAACATTTAAATTATTTCAGTATACATTATATTAATAGGCTGGTTAAAAAATAAAGCCAATTTTCATAAAAAAATAAAGTAAATTAGATACTTCTCTGTAATTTTCACTCTACATACATACATGTAATAATTGTATAATTATAAAAAAAACTAGATTAAAAAAGTCAATGTTTGGATGCCCAGAACTAATTAGTTTGTTGTTTATTGTCTACGTTATGAATAAAATAAATATATCGGGTATCGATGAAGTATTTTTATTTATACCTAATAAGATTCCATTTTTAATAAGATCTAATTTATTTGCCGAAGCTAATTTTGATATTATATTATTAGTATTAGTCAACGCAGCTTTCTTGAGTTATAAAGATTATTATAAACCAACATGGGAATATATATATATATATTGTTAACGTAATTACAGGGTTACTCTTTAGGCTAATTGTCAGATTTTAAAATCTACCGCAATATCTTTTAATGATATTTAAGCTATTATTATAGCTATTTACGTAACGTTTAAAGGCGCAATCGCTTTTGGAACGAACCATGATTTGCATGATCAAAAAATAATAAAAATTTAGCTAAACCATTGAAAGATTGCAGTTAGCATTACACTCTTGAGATTTCTCAGTAGCTTTGAAACGTAAAGATATTTGCGTGTAACCCCAATTATTACTCCCAATCAACGTCAAATTAATAATATGGTTCGTTCAATATCTTTTAAAAAACTTCCCTATCACATGTCAATTAGTTGTAACGTGAATATATTTCATAGGTCGACTTGTATAGGTTTGAGATAGATTATAAATATCAACAATAGTCCCAACAGTGCGGATATGTAGATCATAATCTTCAATAATCTTTATTTAGCGCTTTAAATTAAATTTTCTTTAACCGACTTCAAAATCGAAAAGGAGGGGGTTATGTTTTTTATGTATGTTTACCAATGTTTCCGTCAAATTATTTCTTATACCACTTCGGTCCATTGAGCTTTAAATTTCGTCTATGTAGAATCAGTAAATAAAATACGCTTTTCTTCAGATATTACCTAAATATTTAAATGATATAGACAAATATTATCTAAATACTTCAGCTGAAAAAACGAAAGATTGCGTATTTTGAATTCATTCAAAATCAGAAAGGAGGATTTTCTTTTTCAACGAGTATATATATTTTCTATGAAAGTAGGTAGGTATATTCATTGATTTCATTTTGTATTGTGAACTAATTTCTATCAAACTAACCGCGACTTCAAGTATTAGTTTCGGAGCCTGCAAACAAATGCAAACAAACAAAGAAACAATCAAATCTTTCGTCTATAATATGAGAATATATTATTGGGAAAAAATATGTCGAACAATTCTCCTTTTGTAAGACTTTCATTATTTTGATTATTTTTATTTAATATTTTAGTGTTATTTATTATATAAAAAAAATCAATATCACCATAAAGCATGAATTGAAAGTTTTTCAAAAAAATAGAAGCAACTTCAAAGCTTATAAAAGTAATAAATAATATTAAGTATTATTATTTACTTTTTTGAACTTTGAAGTTGGTTCTTTTAAAAAAGTTTTTTTTTAAATTAAACCCTCATTGAAAATACTGAAAGCGCTGGTTTAGAATCAATTATATACCAAAAAGAGCGTACTATCGTTCAATTGGTTTTACACAAAGAAAAAACTATAAAATAACCTGTTATAAAAAATGAAAAAAAATACACTCAAGATATATGTGAATGCCAATTTAATTATTTTTATAAGGAATATTGATAAATTAACTTTGTAGTCGGGGAAACATTTTCATAATAATAATAGTTGCCACACAAGGCTTCATTATACCTCAGATTACAATGTTAATAAGCCAATCATTGATCTGAGAAAAATAAACGAGGAATATGAATAAACGATCACAAACAGAAACGTGAAAACCGATGCGTCATTGTTTAAGCAAGGTCGTTTGTAATGATGACGCCATAGGATCGAAACTGAATCCATAATTCCTGTACTCGCGTGTGGACTCGTTAGCTCAGTAGGTAAGAGCGCCGATATAAGTTTCGTACTTGCTCATCGGAGGGCGGGGGTTCAAATCCTTCACGAGTCAAAGTTTTTTTTTTTCTTATGTATTTTTTTCTATACTGTATATAAAAAAATACGAAATCCAAGATCTGTGATAGCACTAAGTTAGGCGTCTTATTTTTTACAGAAATGAAGTACTGTATACAATTACAAAAAAATAAAACTAATGCTGCAGCAATGCTGTGTTAGACGCTGTATTTCAAAATTATTACTTCTGAATAGGTTCGAAAAATCATCATTTTTAAGCAAGGCCTGTTTTGGTCATCTGTTTTGATTGCGTGTTGTAATGGGACGGCGTGCCGTGCCTACCTTCGACACCTACCTTTACTTAAACATAGATGTAATTAATTAATTATTCTTTTTTCAATTATATGCAGGTACGTCAAAAAATCATTTTGAATGTCACTTCGTATGGATTATTCAATAAAAATAGCCACAATAGTATTAAAATATTTTCATTATTTTAACATGTATAACTATCAAATAAAGATTATTGCACACGATTTCTGAATTGAGAATCCAAAGTTAAGGACGTCTCAAACTGTACTAGAACATCACTTAAACAGGTTTTCGTTTCTGTTTTTTTTATTTTTATTGATCAGTTGATAGCTGTTTGATAAAACTAGGCCTTTTTGCCGTGTAAAACGTAAAAAAACTCAAGTAATTGAGAATAATCAGTTGAGATTTTGGACTTTTTTCAATTCAGAAAACGGTCGTTAATGTTTTGTATTCGCAAACACAAATTAAATATTCAAGCTCCTGAATCTCATTTATTATATAAAAGCTTATTTCTTATAATACGAACACACGAATACTCTTACCATAGCAGAATCTCAGTATACAGCCTCGAAAATGTATACAACATGACTCCAGCTACGTGTAGACTCGTTAGCTCAGTAGGAGAGAGTCGATAAAAGTTTCCTACTTGATCATCGGAGGGCGGAGGATCCAATCCTCCTCGACTAAGTTTTTTTAAATCTTTTTTTATGATAAATGGATGATTTGACTGTTTTTTGCATTGAATGGACTCTGAAAGTTGTGTACTGATTTGAATTCGTTCACCTACGGGAAGCTAAATCATATTCGGTGATTTAGGCTAAAATTTACGCGGGCGGAATTGCTAGACAACATCTAACTAATAAAATATTTGATTAAAAATAATGTTATTAATATGCTTGACAATCTTTAACCATATATAGGTATTCAATTAATTTTTTATTCCTGTCTTTAACATAACTTTGTTTGAATTGACTAATTCATTTTTGTAGGACCTAAACACGTAGACAAGTTTCCACAGCCTCTCACATTCCGGAGTTCACCCCTTTTTGAGCTTAATAAGACTGTACTAATAATAATATATATGTATTTCATCAATAATAGTTATTATTGAATGATTAATTACTGGTTTTGTAATTAGGAACTAAATCTGACCCACTTCCCGTTACTATATACTTATAACTTGAATTACATATTGCATTGTCATCCATATGGAATAAAGCTGACATTAAGATGGAGCCTGAAAGTAGCCAAGGAACGTCTGTAATCAGATGAAGTAATCATGAAATAGCACAACCCTTTCGAGTTTATACTTGGTTTTTTTGTACAAGATCTCTGGTCCAACAGGACCTTATTTCTTTTTCAATTTTGTCATGTGTCAATTTTGTCATTTTCCAATTACTATTTCTGAATTATTTTGAGTTCTTTTAGATGCTTTATTCAAATTCTTGTATATTTATTGAAAATATTTGCTAAAGTTATAACTATTACTCGAGTAATTACTTCTACTCGACTGGTAAAATGAGTTTTAAAATCGTCTTTCGATATATCATGAACTGTTTTGTCGTCTGTTCTATTCTCATTTACGTATTTTAATGCAGTAGAGTGGGCAGAGATGGTTAATAAATCGATAAATGAAATAATTATCTCTTTCTGCGATATTTTATTGTACCTAATGGAAAAGACTTTAAGTCAGTTGAAGCGTGGTTGAAGCCATGTTATTTGGACTTCTCTGTATGAAATAAAACAAGGAGAAAAAAGTATATTATTATCAACTAATTGTACAAATATCTGTATGACTTAACTATAACTTTAAACACTAATGAATATTCTAAATTTGTACCAGTTATGACGCTTTCAACCAATAACAATTTTAATGGTTGTGCAACTACGTCTATAATTATCGTATGGAAAAAGTTTTACTCTAAAATTTAATACCATGCAGGTTTCATTTTAACTTAAAACAGACAGTGCGTTAAAGCGACAGTTTCATATTTAAATAAGGTCAAGCTTTATGTACTTGTTTGTTGTGGTTAATGTGTATTCGCTTTATTTAATATTTGCGAATAGCTTTGTATACGATAATCACGGTCGTGGATTCGGAGGTCCCAAGGGGCCAATGTTTGTGTGATAAATGTTACAATGTTTATTCTTTATTAAGTCACCACAGTTATAAAATCAGATGTGCTTTGAGCATAGTGTATATGACTCTAGCTCAGTGTTGGTTCTAAAGTCATTATGAGTTTGTAACATCTGTAGTTTTGTGATATAATTTTTATTTGTATGTATCTAAAGGCTTTATCCTTTAGATACATGTAATAAGCATAAACATTTTAATACTGTATTCGTGACTGTAAATAATATTTACCTTTTATGTTTGTTCTTTTAGAAAAAATAAGAAGTAAAAGCTGGTAAAGTGCGAGTCTGACTGGCGTCTGAAGGGTTCAGTATCGTTATCTATAAAAACGAGCAAAAAATAGTTGTAGGTAAGCACGCTTAAGGATTAATTTTGTTCGGTTTTTTTCCCTATTTGTTTTCATAGAGGCAACAGAAATAAATTATCTGTTATAATTTAAGCTGTCTTAGCTTCATGAGATACAGCCTAGTGACAGACAGAGAGTAGACAGATGGAAGGTCGGACTGCGGGGTCTAAGTAATTTTACCGTT